GTGACCTCTCAAAGGGAAGGAGCCGCTTTCCCGTCCCACAGCCTGGCTGCGCCTCGAAACAGTGGTTTTAGGGGGGTTGGTTGGTTTGTTGGTTTTGTTTTTAAGTAAACGCCGGCCCTGCGGTGTGTTCGATATGACTGCGGAGATCTGCGTTTATGTACGTACCCGCATACACAACACATAAATTGTACCACTTTTCATGGCATAGATGTGTGCGTGTCTGCAGATAACGAAATGTTCATTCACGTAAAAAGAAACATATAAGCCCCTGAGCCCTTAAAGTCCCAGCTATTTTGTTTTGTAAATTCGTTTTACGATGTCTTATCCCCGCGCCCAGGACGGATGTGCAGTAAAACGGAGCCGCTCTCTAATAACGGGATTGGCCGCTCGCTGAGAAAAGTTTATTGATAGCTGCAGGGCTCTAATCTCCTCGGAACACAAGACCCTCTTGCAGTCATTTAAGGGCAATTATCTAAACGGGGAGGGACAGAGAATTCCCTTTCCTTTTAACTGAACCCAATAAAGATGGTAGATTAGGAGCATATAGATTATGAAATGAATTTATATAATAGACATTTTGTTAACTGATAAGCAACAGGACCTGATTGAAATGAATTGTCCTGCGAGCAGCTACACACACTTATCTTACACACGCGTGATCATGTGCCCTTGCGGCGTGCTCACAGTGTCCTGCACGTACATCATACCTACCTCCCGCATGTGCTGTGCTCATGTATGGATCATACTCTAGTGAAGATGATTTGTAGGCGACTTGCAGGCTACCCCCCCGCATTCCTACACATGAGAGTGAACGCACTTTGCGCAGACCTATTCGCCGACACATGGCTCACACTGGCACATCCAATCGCCCTCCCGATCCGTGCCGCCCTGCTGAGCGCTCCTGCGAGGCGGGGAGCAGCGGTGCCGCCGCCCATCCCAGCCCAGGTCGGCCCCGCGCCCTGCCGGTGCCGGTGCCGGTACCGCTGCCCGCAGCCTCCCCCGCTCCCAGTCGGGCCGGGGGGCCGGGTCGGGCCGCGTCGGGGCGGGGGGGCAGGGGGTGCTCGGAGAAGCGGCTGCATTGCTAATTGCGAGAATAAACAATCTGTCACGATTAGTCAGTGCCTCTAATAGGCAGACAAGTGATGTTGTTTTTAGGCGCCAGCAGCGGTCTGATCAAAGGCTTCAGCTGGAGGGGGACTATTGAGGACGTTAACCCGCATCAAGGGAGCAAGGCGCCTTAGCCCTGGGACATCAGCACATTCAGCCTGACAAAATTAGTTTGCTCTACCAATCACACGACATTTTCCCAAAGCCTGGTGCTCGACACGAAGATGCACCCCCACCCCACCCCTGACTAAGAAAACATGCACATATATCCATGCATCGTGTTTCACGGTGTCACGGTGTTCCCTCCACCCGATCCTACAGGTAGGATCTTGTTTGGGGTTTTTATTATTTTTTTCCCCTGATTCCAAACTTAACTGTGCAAAAGACTAAGTGATGTGTTTATTAGACCTCGAGGCAGCCCACGGGCTGATTTCGATCTCGCTGTTCGATAGAAATACGAATATTAAAAATAGAGCTGCTGACTTGTTTGAGGTCTTTTTTTCCCTCACTTTTCTTTTGTAGAATGGTTGTAACCTTGGGATGTTGCTGAGGTTTGAAGAGGTGCGTGTGCGTCCCATAGCGAGAGCGCGATCCCGCTCTCATTGAGAGTTGACAGAATGAGATAATTAGCTCTCTATTTATCTCCCAGCAATGAGCGCTTTGTGTTTACACTTCTGTCATACTCGGTGGTATTTCAATCACTGTATCATAGCAAGGACTTGATTCTAACTCACGTGCTGGCAAGCTCCTGGGCTGAAAACATAAAGTTCCTTTCGGTTCTTGCTCCTTTCTTTCTTTCACGTCTTTCTTAATGAAATCTACAAGTTTTACGTTAGGAATGGAAAAAACAAATTTGCATAACGAAATTTCTCCCAAGGCTGATTTCTCTGTTTAGCGGGAAATTTTTGGTATCCAAACTCTTCCTACCTTGTTCGCTGCGCTCTGGGTGACCAAAACACGGCTAAGTTTTAGGAACTTTTTTAGTACCTGTTCCATGGTGTTGATACTTTGGCTTGCTTTTAGATGCCTCTCTCTTATTTTCCTCCCTGGGCTGTAAGAAAAATCGAAGTGAAAGGGCACGGGGGAATAGGTGACTTTAGGGGTGCTTGTTCCAGTCCAGTGTTTTTATTGGGAGCAGTGGCGTTTCCCTGAAGGCACTTGTGCTAGATAACAACATTGGGCAATTAGCATCCTAAACAGTCCCGTTTCAATATAATGAATGTGCTAGGCAAAGCCATTACCCATAGCATTTTATTTCGGTGGGAATACAACAAGGGTTGAGGGAGCGCATGGGGGATGGGGAGAAAGGACAGGAGGCAGCACTAAACCAATTCAGGGCATTGTCTGCCTTTTGTAAACGTTATCTTTGACTTAAAGACAGAGCTCAGAATGGAGAGGGGTGTTGTTGTTTCCCTTGTTCCTATTTTATTTCTCCCGAGACAGGAGCTCTTAGGAGACCAGACAGTTTCGCAGGACACGAGCTGGCTTTGGGCACAGGCGGCTCCGGGGCAGCTCTGCCGCTCTGGGCACTGCCTGCGCGTTCCCTGCGCGCTCCCTGCGTGTTGTGTGAGCAGCCTTCAGCAACCTTGCTTCATCTGTGAGAGCCTCAGCCCTGGGGGCAAAAAGCCAGATCTATCGCAAGTGCTAAAAATGTCCCGCGGGCTTTACAAGCCCTCAAAGCCCTTCAAGTGCTCAAAGCCCTCCCTGCTCCCGCCGCTATTCCTCCTCCGCTGAGTGTCGGAAAAATGCTGAAAGACCTCAGTTCTTTTCTTCTTTTTTTTTATTTTTGTCTTTTTTTTTGTTTTTTTTTTTTTTTTAATCTTTCTCTTTTCCCCTTTCCCTTCTGCCCTGATTAAACATAACCCAAACTACTTTTAAGGCTTCAGGCACCTGGACTGGTCCTCGAGAGGTCACTAGGAACGGTTTGGACGGCCAAACTCCGGCCGCCGAGGCGTCCCCTTCTCTTTGAGGGTCGGAGGAGCCGGGCTGAAAGGAAGGCACTATTTCAAGTGGCCTAAATTAATTTGATCGCGACATTATGATGCACTTGGAAAAGATGAAAGAAAAGGCTGGCCGTCTCCTCCAAGATCTCTATAATTATAGATAATATATCCTATTTCAAAGCAATTAGCTCAATCAGGCGTAACGAGGCACTTTGCTGCCAGGGAGTAACAATGCCTTACGGTTATTTAAGCTTCAAGATGTCAAGCAGACTTCGAGACTCCCTCTGCCCAAAAGGGAACTTGGCTGCCTTGGTGAAAGCCCCATGGCTAAGGCGGTGGTTTCCCTTTAGTGACAACACGCCTATCTAATTTAATATATTTTTTAAAGCTCTTGCAAAGGTACCGGCTCTGCTGGAGAAGAGCACCTCTCCTCCAGGCGCATTTGGAGCCGGTTCCTGTGTGGCATCACCTCTGCCCCTGCCCGTCAGCACCGACTTGCCTCGCCTCGCCTGCTCGCTCCGGGATGCTTGTGCTTTCCGAGCCTTTTTCCCGCTCGGTGCCTTTCTTTCGATCTCTTCTTGGGGTGATTCCGGCTGCCTTTCACGGGGTTCTGCAGGAGCAGCTGTTGATGGGGCGCACTGGCTGATGCGCGGCTCGCAACCACGGTGCAGACCTCCCTGCTGAGCCAGCGCCTCCTCCCAGCCCCCAGAGCTTTACCCTGCCGTCCTCTCGGCTTTTACCTGAAGGGCTTCGCAGGGTTCCGAGAGCATCCGCCCGCTGGTTGCGTTGCCAGCGAGCCCGCGGTCCTGTGCATGTGCCTGCCGGTGTGTGGAGGGGCTCTGCAGTCACAGAGCAGGGCCCCGGGTGCCGGAACCCCCGCACCCTGACCCAAACCCGCGCTAGACGAGTACGCTGAGCGAGCTGTGCCTCCCGTGGGGGCGAGTTTGAGACAAAATGCCGAAAAGCGAGTTTTCCCCCTTTCCCTGTGCCGCTGCAATCCGCCGTCCAGGGCTGCTCCCAGGCTCCCGCCGTGCCCCGGTCGGCGGGGCTTCCCCGGGCCGGGCACTCCGCGGAGTTACCGCCTGCGGGGGCCGCGCTGGCCGGGGCTCTGCATCCTCTGTGCTGGGGCAGAGCCACCTCCGGAGCGGCACAGCCCGACCCAGCTCGGCCCGGCCCGGCCTGGCCCGGCCCCGAGAGCCCACGAAAGCAGAGCCGTGCTCGTATGAAATGCCGCGGAAGGGAAAATAATAACCGTACAATTAACCATGTCAGCGTTTCTTCCAGAGATTTTTATTGCTGGGGGGTAGCCGAACTGGAGAAAATTAAAGGGAAAATAAAGAAATAAATAAACCAAAACAAAACCATAAAGCAGTTCAAGGGAAAGAGGAGGCTGGGGACGTGAATGCGAACTAAATAAAGTTTAATCACCCCTCCTTCTTCTCCCCGTGCACAAAATGGAAACCTTATTATATGATTCACTGTGAATCACTAGATTGAATGCCATCATTATGAGTGAATGATAGTCGGGGCTCTGCTGGCCTTTTCTTTCCTAGAGGCAAAAGTATAAAATATGAAGGATGTAAATGATCTTCTCTCTGCTCTCTCATAAAGGACATTCATTCAAAACCACACTGCCTCGCTCCCAATTACTTTGGTCCCCTCAAATTCCACAACGATCAAGGTAGATTATGGCAAGTCCCAGTTTATTTGTCTTCACGTGCTTGTTTATTGGCGAAATATCACGAAATGTAATTTGTCCCAAATTCTTCAACATGAGAAAATACTTTGTGGTTGAAGGAATCCATGTCAGTAACGCCAAGGCGATCTCCAGTGCTCAGAGCAAGTTCATTATCATGCTATTTTACAGGGTTTCCACGTTTACTCCTCATTTCTCAGGAGTCTTTTACATATTGTTGCATAAGAAAAAGATTTCGACAGTTCTAGTTATGAGATTTCCTAGATTTTTTTACAGGCGGAGCCGGTTTACAAAAGCCGTATTGTTTGATTGCAGTCTGGGTTTCCATTTGGGGTAATTATTGTATTCCCAGTCTTCTTCTAATTATTTGCTCAGAAGGACAGGTTTTTTCCCCTCGCCTTTTGAAGAAGATGAAATACTCCAAAGTTGCAAGACTGTTGGAATAATCCCCCCCACTTCTTTGCCTGTTGTTTAAAAGCTATTCCTTACATCTCTCAAAATTGCTGGAAAATATGTGACGCAAAAGACAGTAAGAAAATATAGAGCGCAGTAGAAACGCATGTCACCACATTTTGAGAAAACTCCACAATCCCGATCTAAGCCTCTTCCCACTAGAGAGGTCTATGCGAATGAAGGGGGGGAACCAAACACAAAACGAACCCAAACCACTTTTCAGAAGGAAATACGTTTCAGCTCGATAATAATCAGCTCCCGAGGTAGGGGAAAAAAAAAAAAAGTCCGTAGAAGGAAAAAAATCAAGGGAGAACAATTCCTATGTAAGGCAGGGCTGTCTGTGCAGAAGGGTTTCTCCTCCAGCTGCTGCCTCCAGCTGCAGAACTGGAGGAGAGTCGGGAGCCGCGGCCCCACAGGCAGATAGCAGCTCAACCTGCAGGCACGACAGTGGAACTTGGCAGGTCTCCTCTTTCCAGCGCCTCTTTTTGGACCTTCCTGCTGGTGTCATACGGCTTCCCAAGGCAAGATTGCTCCTTCCCCCCCCCGCCTTTAATTTGCATCTGTAAAATACGAGTTCCAAAAACATCCCACTAAACTCACAAGGAAGAGATTTGGGGAAAATACTTATTTTCTTCTGCTGCTAAGATATTTTGAAAATGATTGTCTTAAGCAAAAACTTGCCAGTTAGGAAAACGTATATTCATGCAAATACATTTATCAGGATTTTAATTTCCTTCTGTAAAGGAAACTAGAGCTGAATAGAAGAGTAACTGGTGCCAGGTATCTTCCAGACTCTGTAAATTAAAAAAAAAAATAAATCACACTCCTACAAATATCAAAGTCATCCTCAAGTACTTGAAACTGCCCTGTTGATATGTAACCTCCTGATTAGCAACTCCAGTGCCTTATTATTTTGGTGATGTGATCTCACCACATCCTTTTGCTGAGTGGCAACCAATGTCTAGATATGATACTGGGAGCTATGTCATTCTAATAAATCAATGCGACCAAACAATTTCCCTGCCAGAAGAGGAGGGGGGAAAATTCCAAATATTTTGTAGGGAAACTGAATTTGTCTTTTAGAAAGCTTATGTTTCTCTCAGACTTTCCATCAACTGCAAGCATAGACATAATCTAAAATGTTCCTGGCTTGCCTGCTGCTGGGCTGATTAGCTTTTGGACAGGAGAGATAACATTTCTAGACATTGGTCTGCCTCGCACTGCCTTCATGTTATTCTCAGTGTATGTGGGTTTGACATTATTTATGTAGCAAGTGTGGGCTCTCTCTTGGTGTTGGGTCACTTTGCTTTTCAACAGCTGGGGTTTTTTCTGTCATTCAAAGCAGAACTTATTTCAGCCTTTCAAACAGCATCAGATTTCTTGCAATTCGTGGCTTTAAGGTATAACACCCTCCATCCACCTTCCATCCCTCACAGGGGCTAGCCTGTACTGCTCCACAAAGTGCCATGGGTGGCTGTGGGATGCCCAGACCAGGTACACAGACTGCTTCC